TCTTTCTTTCTTTCTTTCTTTCTTTCTTTCTTTCTTTCTTTCTTTCTTTCTTTCTTTCTTTCTCTTTCTCTCTTTCTTTTCTTTCTTCTCTTCCTTCTTTCCTTCACATTCCTGTGGGATGTTCTTCCCTCCCTCCTCTCCAGCCAGTCTCTCCCTCTCCTTCCCCTCCCCCTAAACCCCCTCCCTCTCTTCTCAGAGAAGGGGAGACGTCTCATGGATATTAACATACCTTTACACATAGAGTAGAACTAGGCCCATTTTTTTCTATTAAGGCTAGACAAAGTTGTCCAGTTAGGGGAAAGAGATTCAAAGACAGGCACAAATAATAATAATAATAATAATAATAATAATAATAATAATAATAATAATAAATAAAAAGACAGAGACAGCCTCTTGCTGCTAGAGGTCCCACATAAGGACCAAGTTGTAAATCTGTTACAAATGTGTAGGGGGTCCAGAACTGTCCCATGGATGTTCTCTGGATGGTGGATTAGTCTCTGTGAGCCACTATGGGTCCAGGATAGTTGATTTTGAAGGTTTTCTTGTAGTGCCTTTACCTCTGTATAGGTGTGTGGGTGTCCTTCTCCTTCTACTGGAAGTTCCATTCCTGGGAGACATCACTATCCCATAGATGTCCCCCACCTCCTCAGTTCTTCCTTCCAGCCTATTTCTCCTTTCCCCCACTTAATCCCTACTCTCATTCCCTTACCAATCGCCTGGGCATCCTCTTTTGGACCCTCCTTGTTATTTAGCTTCTTTGGGTGTGTGGATTGCTGTCCTCTAATTTGTGACTAATATCCACTTGCAAGGAGGTATATACCATGTGTGTCTTTCTGGGTCTGGGTTACTTCCCTCAGGAAGATCTTTTCCAGTTCCATCCATTTGCCTGAAAATTGTATGATGTCTTTGTCTTTAACAGCTGAGTAGTATTTCAATATGTAAATGTAGCAGTTTCTTTATCCATTCTTTGGTTGAAGGACATCTAGGTTGTTTCCAGATTCTGGCTATTACAAATAATGTTTCTATGAACATAGTTGATCAAGTGTCTTTGGGTAGGGTAGGGAGTCTTTTTGTTATATGCCCAGGACCAGTATAGCTCAATCCTTTTTTTTTTTTTTTAATTTTTATTTTTTAATATTAGTTAGAGTTTGTTAACTTTGTATCACTTCTGTAGCCCACTCCCTCTTTCCCTCCCAATCCCACCCTCCCACCCTCATCTCCTTCCTGCCCCTTTCCAAGTCCACTGATAAGGGAGAACCTCCTCCCCTTACATCTGATACTGGTTTATCAGGTGTCTTCAGGACTGGCTGCAAAGTCCTCCTCTGTGGCCTAGCAAGGCTGCTTCTCCCTGCAGGGGAAGGGGAGGGAGGTCAAAGAGCCCACCATTGAGTTCATGTCAGAAACAGTCCCTGTTGCTCTTATTAGGGTACCCACTTGGATACTGAGCTACCAAGGGTTTCATCTAAGCAGGGGCTTTAGGTTGCATCCATACATCGTCATTGTTTGGAGAAACAGTCTCATAAAACACCTCTGTGCCCAGATATATTTGGTCCCTGTGGAACTCCTGTCCTTTCCAGGTCCTATCAACTGCCTCCCCCCCCCCTTTTTTTTTGTTTCCTGCATTCTGCCAGAGGTTTGGTTATGAGTCTTAATATCTGTTTTGATACACTCCTAGGAAGAGTCTTTCAGAGGCCCTCTGTGGTAGGCTCTATTCCCAATTTTCTAAGAAACCACCACATTGATTTCCAAAGTCATTGAATAAGTTTACACAACTACCAGAAATGGAGGAGCTTTTTTTTGTGTGTGTGTCCATGAATGATTTTATTTTATTTTTTTTTGTATTTTATTTTTTTCTTATCAGTTACATTTTATTAACTCTGTACCCCAGCCGTGTCCCGATCCCTCATTCCCTCCCAGTCCCTCCCTCCCTCCCTCATCTCCACCCTGCTCCTTGCCAAGTCCACTGATAGGGGGGGACCTCCTCCCCATTCATCTAATCCTGTTTTATCAGGTATCTTCAGGACTGGCTGCAAAGTGAGGGGAACAAGGACTATTTCTAACAGGAACTCAATGGCTGGCTCTTTGGCCTCCCCACCCCCCAAGGGAGGAGCAGTCCTGTTAGGCCACAGAGGAAATGGAGGAGTTTTAAACCAACTTAATGGTGATGAAAGTTTAACATCAAAAGAGTAAAAATATTCAATGATTTTTAAGTAAGTCTTACAGGTCTAAGAATGGAACTGTACCAGAATGAGAACAATGAATTGGATAAAAACCATATGATGTCCACATCTATAAAAAGTGGAAATATTAAGCATGGGCTTGAAAGATAAATTAAACTAATTCAAGCTTTATAGATTATGGAAACTAGGTTTCTATTTTTGTCTTAAAAAGATATAGAAAGTAACAATTTAAAATAAGTAATTTAATAAGATTTATAAATGAGTGCTTTCATTTTCATAGAAAATAGATCTGAGAAGGCAAATAATATTTATTTATAATAATTGTGTAAATTATCACTTATCACCCATTATGTCAGGATATTACTACCTGCTCAAGATGTTTGTCTAAGAAGATAATCTGTTGTGGACCTTTTGAACTGTATAATCTTCATGCACCTAATCTTTTTTACACATCATCCATATTCATCTTATAATACCAGTCAAAAGTCTTGTGAATCAGAATTTATGTGGTAAAGTAAAACATACGTAAGTTATAACTTTGTCATCATTCAGAAGGACTGTGCCTTCTTTGAGCATCCATACATGATGGCAAGTGAACATGGTATAAGAGTATGAAGACAAAGCCCTTTGGAGTGATTTGTCATTAAACTAAATCCTCTAAGAACCTTCAGACTCTTTAATAAAAATAAAATGATATATATATATATCCTTTATATAAGAAGAAATTATAATAGTCCTTGGGCTTTGATCAATTAGTACTGGATAAACAATAACTTATTTCATCTATATTGTAGTAATATTCCCCTGCTTGTTATGAACTCTATTCTGAATAACATGATTTAATATGACGTTCATGTTTTCTTTGCATGTTTTATGACTCATTTTATTTCTTTATTAATTTGGAATCTACCAGTTTGTCAGGAAACTGAAGAACTGAAGTCACCAAGAATGTTTCATTTCATTACTAAAAGTTGTTTGGGCTTACTTATCTTTCATTATTCACTGTGACATATGCTGGGAGTATGCTGAAAGAAATCACCAGCGTGGAGCAAATGATGTGATAGAGAAGCAGGAGGTCTGCCAGAGAAAATATGTTCCAAACACTTACTGCTTTGGTCGCTGGCCATTTTTCATAATAGACATTCAAGACATCGGTGATTTTTTTTTTTTACTTTTTAATGTATTTTATTGAACTTATCTATATTAAGACTTATATTCTGTGTATCAGCCTAACCTAACCATAGGAGCTCTCGTTGTGTGGCATAAATTCACTAAAGATGAGTAGATCTGTGTACATCAGATTAGGATCCAGCCCTCAACAGTAATGTACTGTTGATTAAATTCCCAAACTTCACTTTGGAAGGTATTGAAACTTCCAAACTGTAGCACTAGTTGATACTTACATGGTAATACATTACCATAGACAAGATTCACTATTCTTTCCAAAAAGCATCTAAAGATCTT